AGATGTTCCCAAACCAGAAGGAAGTGTTCTGCTAAAGCAATGCCAAGGACCCGGCAGGTGCTCGATGAATACTCGCGAGAGAATACAGGCTTCTGACACCGGGTAGGGCGGCCAACTGGAGTCCAGGGAAAAGCATGCAAGACGTTTGTCTTTTAATTGCTAAGCCTCGTCTATGTCCACACTGTGTGCTGTAACATGGAGCATAACAAGACAAGGAAAAGCAAGAAGGATGGCTCAGCCCAGCCCTTGAATAGTTCAGTGAAAGAGACAAATGGCATTCAACAGAGCCTGACAAGGTGCGGATGTGGGGCAGCAGCAGCAGGTCCACGTGTGCCTGTGTGAGGTGGGGGCGGGGGGAGGATCCAGTGTAGAAAACCAAGGCATGGCGAGGGAGATAAGAAAAGAAATGGGAGGTCAACTTGTCACTGAAGCCCGAGTTCAAGAGACGGTTTTCAGAAGGACGGAGGGATCCCCATTGTCAAATTGCCGAGAGATGGGGTGAGCTGAGGAGTGAAGATGTTATCGGACTTGGCACCTAGGAGGTCATCGGTGAGTTCCAATGAAGTCATTTTCAGGAGCGTGATTAGAGCAGATGTCAGACTGTAATGGATTAATGAGTAAACGAAGGAAGAATTTATCTAGAAAAAGCTTGTGAGAAAGGATAGGAAGAAGCAGGGGGAAAAATAGGAAGGGCAGAAACGGAATCAATGACTACGGGGAAAAAGAGGCACCCACACTCATGGAGACGAAGCGAAGGGCTGAGTGCGCGGACGCAGAGGACAGTGGGCAGCAGCCCGGGCAGGGAGCGCATCGCGGGTGGAGGGAGGGAAGGCAGAGAGAATACGGGTTCGGGCCATCTGTGGTTCAGATCCCGGCTCTGTCCCTTACTCTCTGACCTTGGACAAGTTCCTTATCCTCTGCCCGTGAGACACGGAGAATGAATCCTCAGAAAGAAGACAGACACTCCAAAAACACTCCTACAGTAAATATGAAACATTTCTCAGAGTTTCTTTTTTCTTCTTTTGATTTTAATGTAGGCTGATGACATCAGTCCAAAGCATAGTTCTAGGAAAGAATCTTACAAGGGGACAAAATAATGTGTTTCAAGTGCACGGCTTTCTGACAGTTTGGCTTTTAAGAGTATCGGAATTACAAATGGATTTCATCCTGTATGCCAGAGCTGATGAGATGCCAATGACGCCCTGAAGCACAGCTTGGGGAGAGTCGGGTTTGAGCAAGAAAGAGTCCAGCGCAGCATAAGAAAGGGCCGGGGAAGAAGTTGGCCAGCGCCTTGGAAGGGCCGGTAGTAAGAGTACTCGCGAATGTGCTGACCCGGAACCCAAGGGAACAATGGACTGTATGTGCATCAGATAGTTCTCTGTCAACGATATTGAGCTTTTTGATAAGCAACAACTTGTAAAAATTTCAGCGCACCTTCTCTGAGAAGCACAACTACTCTACCCCGTACATTAACGGTAGACACACAAATTGCAGCAGTCAGCTGCCGTCAGTAGGAGTGACATACTTTTATGCAAGTTAGGCTATATGATCAGGATATATCCATTGATTTAATGGAAGCCCTCTCCACCACGTCTAGGAAGAAGACCATGGAAATATCTGAGGCAGGATCGAAATCGTTCTTGGAGAAACTTCTGGGTATTCTGTAAGCCAAGGAGGAAAGGAGATCGAGGTCCCAATGCTGCATATATAACAGTGAAGGGTAAGTGGGTCTCTTTGGATTTTGGAGGCAACATGTTGCTCTAACTCATCTTCCAAGTGACCCAAAAAGCTGTTAGTTTTGAACGAGGCCCAGGAAAAAAGAAGACTCTGAAATAACGTATTTTGCTGTGTATACTGCGCACCCACATTTTTGTGCGCATTGTACTTGAAACTCTTATCCCATTATTATACCCATGGTATACAATCAGTATACCCGTGTATAATGCACACCCTTATTTTTCCCTCAAAAATTTGGGCAAAAAACCAAAGTGGGCATTATACACAGCAAAATGTGGGTAGGTCCAGAGTGCTGTGGGAGCTGCTCCGCTCTTGGGGCTCGGACCCGGCAGGTCAGATGGTGCTTGAAGTGTCCCTGGTTGACAGGGATACTGCTAGGGGTCTTGGGCAGCCCTCCCAGGTGAATCGCAGCTCAGGCCCACAGGGTTTTAGAACAAAGCCTGCATCCTCTAGGAATAACTGCTCCTTCTGAGAAATAGCTCTTGGCCTGCTACTGCACGTTAACAGAGACTGAACACTTAACCATGGCGCCTGGGCTTCCCAGGGTGAGCTGGGTATTAACGGACCCATGAGGAGGTACACTGCACTCCAAAAGGGCCGCTTGAGTGTTCTAATTTACACAGACAGGAATCGAGGGCATCTGTGTGGGGGGTAATGGTGGTAGGACACAGGCTGGGTCAGGCTTTTGGACTCACACTGGAACTTACACCATTGTCTCTCCTGCTCATTGGGACTTTCAGCCTCCATGACTCTATGAGCCAATTCCTTATAAGAAATCATACACACACACACACACACACACACACACACACACACAAAATAAAAGTCATATATATATCTCTGTATCTCCTATTGGTTTTTTCCTCAGGAGAATCCTAATACAGCTGAGTTATGTACCATCTTTATGTCTCAATTTCCCCATCCTAGCAAATGGTAATAAACGAATTTCCTACCCTCCGAATGGTGAGGATTAAAAAAAAGTTGACTCACATGAGTTTGTTGAGGTCGAATCAGTCTCTTTCACATTTTCATATTCTTAGGACCTAGTAAAGTTTATGGGGGAATGCAGTTGTTCATAAATATCGATTAAATGGCTATCAATTTTTAAAAATAATCCTAACATATATAACTATTATTCACTATTTTTATTTAACAAATATTTATGGGTACCTACTATGCCCAGGCATCATGCTAGGCTTTGGGCACGTATTTGGAAACATAACTATTTTCATTAAAAGGAAATAAATCATTGATACAGACTATGTTAAACCACTTCTCACATAACTGTTCTTAAACAAAAATTTAATTCCATGAAAATTTCCCTTTATTGAAATGAAATAGTAAAGAATGATATTAATTCTCTGAACCAAAGAGCAAAACAAATAAATAGAAGATAGGAATTTGAGTAATAGGGTGCTTGAATTCTTTTTCTTAGTGGAGACAATTAGAAATTTGTTGCCTTTAGAGCAGAGCATGCACTTGACTTTGCTTCCAACAGGTTGACCACTCTGAGTTCTTGTGTAGTAATGCTAGTGAATATAACTTAGGCCACATTTACAGATTAATTGTAACATGATTAAATTTTGTATTACTTTATCTGTGTTGGTTGGTGTGGCTTGAAATAATTAGATCACAGGGCGGCCCAATTATTTGGTATAGACAGTCATGTACACACCCTCAGCCTTACTTAGCATGAAGAAATCAATCCTGCCCCAAATTCACTGGCTGACACTGACAACTGCTTTCTTTAACTACACTTTTACAGTGTAAGAAATTCAATGAGCAGACTAAGACCCATGATTAAAACTTGAGCGGCTAAAGCAACTGCTGACTATCTCTTCGAGATCAGTTTCTTTTCAGTGCAGAAGCTGCAATTCTACCCTGTGCAGGTTTAAGTCATTTCTCTCTTCAAGACAATCTCGGACTGATTTTTTAAAACTTTTCTTTGCTGACCATAAAATACACCCTTCTTTTTACTCTGTGATTGTCTGACCATTGTGCTGTCCATCCGGAAAGAGTACAAAATAATCCTGAATGTAAACTGTTAATTAAAAAAAAAATTTAAAAAAGCGAAAAAAAAATCTTACGGCTTTAGTAGGATTTAATAAAATAATTACACCTGTGTTTTGTCCAGGGACATTTTACCATTCAAGTTAAAGAAATCCTAGAACATTATGACTACTTACGAAGGAAGATATTTACAACGCAAAGCGCCTATCATATTTACGCTGATCAACGCAGCAAAGTAAGATTCATGAAGCTACCGTTGATTTAGACATTATTTATTAGGTGATCAATTTCCACGTTACTGCTGGTGTCAAAAGAACTTCCTAAGCGAAGCGAAGGGGAAGAAGCCTGTATGTCCTTGCTATTCCGATCCGCGTGGGAGCGCGAGGAGTGGCTGGAATGAGCGGGCTCTGACGTTCAGGGCGCGGGGAAGCCGCCGGTGTTACGGACAAGTGGAGCGGAAAGAATTTTGGCTAATTAAATTAACGCAGGACGCTCCTCCCGCCCTGGCCCGCGGGTGTGCGCTCCTGCAAAGCCGGAGGCGGGGACTCGGCCCGATTCAAATTTCGAGCGGGACGTTGGCGCGGGGCTCAGCAGGTGCCTCGGCCCGGCCCCCGCGGCGGGCGTTTCCGCCCTACCTGCCCACAGGGCCGGAAGTCACCTAGCGGGGGCGCGGCCCCTCCTTGAGGGCCGGTGTTTCAGCCACGCAGAAAGCCTAAAAAAGTGGGCGCCCACGTGCAGTCACGCCTCTCCACGCTCCGGGCCGCGGGGTTCCTGTCCTTCCTCTAGAGTGCCCCTGTGCCCTGGGGGAATCCCAGCAAAAGTGGGAAGGGAGCGAGGCGGAGTAGAACGGCTCAGAGAGGCACGGGCGCGCCACTTCCCCACCGCACAGGTTACGCTGCAGGAGGCAGCTCCTGGGAGGTCGCGCATGCGCCCACTGCTCTTCAGGCGCGTGGAAAAAGTCGCGCATGTGCAGATCCAAGACGGGAAAAATGGAGCTCAGGGATGACTGGCAGGTTGAGGGCGCTTTAGCGACAGAGGAGCCGCCGGGGCCGGGAGGCGCGTGCGCAGAGCACGCGAAGGGGTGGGGCTCCTCCGCGGGGTCGGCCTCGCGCGCCCCCTGTCGCGCGCCCTGGGACAGGAAGGCGCGTGAGGGGCGGGGAGGAGGAGGCGGTGTGGAGGGCGGGCGGGGGGAGGGGAGCCGGAGCGAGGGAGGGCTTATCGACCCGGCGATTTTGGTTAAAATATTCAAAATGGCGGACGGAGGAGCAGCGAGTCAAGATGAGAGTTCAGCCGCGGCGGCAGCAGCAGCAGGTAATCATTACGGCATTTTACATATTCATATTCATACTCGAGCCCGGCTCCCGCGGCCCCCCCGCGACTTAGCATAATTTATTAGTACTCAGGATTATTATAATTAACGGCGGGGAGCTGGGGGGCCGGGGAGCGCCGAGCCCCCGCCGGGCGCCGAGCGGAGGGGGAGAGAGGCTCGGAGCGGCCGGGCGGAGGGGCACCCGGGGCACCGGGGGCTGCGGCCCGGCCCGCCGGCTGCCCGGCCCGGCCTGCGCCGCCGCCGCCTCGCCGGCCCGAGCCCGAGCGGGTCCGCGGCGGGGCCGGGGCCGAGGAGGACAATGAAGACGTTTTACATATTCATAGCGGCGGGCGGCCCGGCCGGGCGGGCCGGGGGGGGGGGGCGTGGAGGACGGGGCGGCGGCGGCGGCACAATGCCGGGAGGCGGCGGGCCCCGAGCGGACCCGGCGGCCGGACCTGAGCACGCGTGCCCCCGGCAGCGGCGCGGGCGGGGCGGGGCGGCGGGGGGCGTCCGCGGGGAGCTCCTGCCGCCGCCCGGGGCCCAGGGGGTCTGGCTGGGGTCACGGCCCCGGCACCTCGCCGCACCCGCTCGTCCCCCGGGGGGCGGCCCGACCCGAGATGGCCCGCGCTCGACGTACGCAGGGCGCCGGTGGGCGCCACTTCGCGCCTTCGGGGGGACCTTCGGAAGTCCCCCTCCAGGGCATGTCCTCGGACCGCCCCCTGTGCTCGGGCCGGCGGTCAGTAGCCCCGTGGGTCCCCGTCGGGCGCAGTCCCTGGGGAGTGGGGTGGGAGGCGCCGGCGTGGCTGTGGCCCCCGCACCCCCTCCCTGACCGCACGGTCGGGCTGGTGTCGGGCCCCGAGCCCCCCGGCCCCCGAGCGCCCTCAGGTTCCCAGAGCGCGGCAGTGCGGCCGGCCGGCCCCGGGACCCCCGGCCTGACAAGTTGCTAATGTCCCGGTCTCCCTCCTGCGGGGAGTGGGGAGGCGGGTATCCCTGCCCGGGTCCGCGGCCGCGTCTTCTCGCCCGGGGGCTGGGTCCTCCCCGCTCTCCGCCGCGCCGATCCTCTCTCATTTGAATAATGTCTAATTCGGGGAGGTTTATATTATTGAAATGGCCGCCTGGCTTTCCCCGCCTCTCATGTTTAGTAATTCAGACCTTTAATAACAGCCACTCACAGCCCAACGCCGTGTTTATATTTTACATTCGCCCCATGTGCTTTTGTGGTTCGATATGATTCTTTTTTTTTTTTCCTTGGCAATCCACAGGGCTCTGAGATCAAACCCAGGCTGTGCCGGGAAGAGAAGGGGGAGCGAGGCCTGGCTCCTCCTGCAGTTGCCTAGGCCTCATGTTCTCTGCCGCCTGATTTATTTACTAATAACCAAAATGACTCCCCCCACCCAATCCTCGCGCACCCCCTCCTCTGTGGGCACAGCCGCCCCTCCTGGGGCCTCACCAGCGTTACAGCAGCACTGAGCTGAGCTTCAACTCTGCCCTGTTTTGTTTTCTCTTCAAAAAGACTTTCTTACAGTTTGCAATAATATTGGGCCTAAGGGGGGGGGGGGCAGGGAAATTGTCCTATTTCCAGAGGCCGAATGAAGCCTATTTGGGTTTCACTTTGTTTTGGTGATAGACACCCCCTCTCCCTTGGCCCCTACCCCCAAATTCAACACTTGCAAGCTTTGTAGAGGTGGGTGCGCAGGATTTCTAAATCCAATCTTTTTTTTTTTTTTTTTTTTCCAGGAGTTGTGGAATAGACAAGTGTTTTAGAAATCCCAGCTGACAGGGCGTCCGAACTTTCTCAGGGCCGCACTGCCTTTGCTGCCTCTTCAGAGAAATTTAAAATGGGCCTTATACTAATTTTGTGCTGTGTTTTGGTTGTAGCACTCCCGGACGCAGCAGTGGGGGTCCGCTTTCTCTGAGTGTTTGGGCGGTGGTTAAACGGGTGAAAATGGAGTCATAAACACGGGCATTGTGTCCACCCTGGTCTGAGAACGCGCTCCCCTCCCAGGGCGCCCGCCCCGCTCCTCTAAGTTGTCAGCATTGATTTTATGTTCTGTGCAGACTTAGGACAGTTGACCTATGAAAGGCAGATTAGCTTTGACCATGGAGAAGAAAGAATAATTTTGATTTTTGGCCTTTCCCTTGGTAACATTTTCTTTGAACCCTTTTGTTTTGTATAGTCGCAGTGTGTGTTTAGCGCCATGGTGGTGGTTCTCACTGGTTTTTATTCCCGCAAGCAGAGGACAGTGTCAGAGTATCGTTTAACGCTGGTGTGTTAAACCGCTGACATTATGTCAAGGTACTTTCTGGTCACTTGCTAGCTACAGGTTTGGTGAGAAGTTGGTCTTCAGTTTAATTTGTAACAAAATCCTAGGTTTAATGGGCTAAAAGCAAGCCAATTTCAAATACCTAGTTCTCACCGTTTTTCTTGCATAACCTCCAGGAGGCAGGCCCCGAATGCAGCAGGGGAAAAAATCTGTAACTTCCACAAGGATGTTTAGGTGAGTGGCTGCTTCAGAGACCTGAAGCGTGAGGTCAGGTGGACAGAAAGCAGGACTTTGATTTTATGCCTTAAATAGCGTATGTTTTTGCACCCGATTCCCAAGATGTGGTCAAACTGATGATGTCATTGGACAGAGGACAACGCGCAGTTAATTTGATTTATTGTCCTGAGGTGAAGTGTAGCAGTGAAACCTTCTCATAGGGAAGCCATTTATCTCAGGACAGTTTCCTTTACAGCTGCAATTTAACCACCGCCAAGGCTGTAGGTGTTTTGTCCGGGAGGAGAAAATGTACATTGTGTTTCACAAACAAAATTTCACTGGTACCATTTTTGTAATACTGAAGACGATGAGTGTTATTAAGTGGCCTTTATTCTGGTTGGCTTTCCATGCTGTTGTACAAATTCATGTCCTCAAATTCTCAAATGGATCATCCTAGACGGGATCCATATGTGTGCTCATTTTATTAGATGGGTTCTTTGTGACCCCCTCAACTCCAATAAGAAGCTGTTTCTTCACTTAATCAGAGCGTAGCCCAGGCTAAAGAAGAGACCCTGTGTGTGCCTCGCACCCGCCCCTGTGAATAAAGGGAAGTTGGAGGGAGTGAGGGCTAGTTAGTCTTTTCGGTTGAAACGCTAGTGTTTAAAGTCAGGTGGAATATTTACAGGAAAGCACGTACTTTGCAAATAGTTTTTAAAAATATAATTCTGAATTCTTTTTTCAGTTTGTTTTAAATTAATCTGGACAAGTTTGTGCATATTACTTTGATAAGTGATTTTCAAAGTTGTCCCATTGTGAGGTAGTGATTTCACATACGATTTTTGACATATGAGTGGATTTCCTAGCAGACTTTTTTTTTTTATCCAACTAGTTTATCTAGTGGCAATTAAAACGCTCGTGGAGCATGGGCCTGCGGCCTGCCCGGCCTCGCTGGGGCGGGCTCTCGGGGCTCCCGCTGCTGCCGGGCCTCCGAGCTGGGACCTGCCGCCGCGCCCCTGCCCCGGCCCCTGCCCCGGCCCCTGCCCCACGCTTCCCAGGAGTTTTCGGAAAGCGCGAGGTCACTTCCTTCTTCCCGTGCCCCGCCTGTTAATTGTAGTGGAGCTTTTGAATTCAGGCCCTGAAAAGTCACGTCACAGCTGACCAAGCGTTTTTAATTTTTAAAAGGACTGTTCTGTTTCTAAGCCATTACTGTGCAAGCAGTTTTTAACCTCTTCCCCAAACTAATTTCTAATTCCTTTCATTTTGTCATTGTAAAATATTCCTATAGTCAAGGGAAATACAAACAGCTACTGCTCTTCAGGTTCAGATGGTGTGGTGTTCTGTCATATTTTTAATTCACTACTCTCTGCGCCGATAGGCAGTGTCAGGCAGCGGCAGTGGAAGCCTCATTGCTGCCTCGGCGGGAGCCGTCGCTCACCTGTCGTTCACCGGTCAGGGGATTCCGAAGGCAGCTGCGGCTCAGGACGGCCCATGGCCCTTCTCAAGCCACGAAAGACGTTTAAAGGAGCCTTTACTCTCCTAAGCAGGTGGTTCTAAACTCACAGAACTGGACATTTAAATGATATAGTGTTTTCCATTCAAAATGAAATATTTGAAGTTTTTTGACTCCTTATTACTTGACCTTGAATTTAGTTGTGATTTTAGGACTGGCCGCTCACTTTCAGGCCTCTGTCTCCTTTTCACCAGGAACACTGTGGTGTTAGGTGGTGGCCGCCGCCTTGTGGTTACCCATTGTTTCTGTTTTATGTTCAACACTGAAGACCCGCAGTCCCTGTCCTCGCCCACCAGACTTCTTTCAATCACTACAAAAGTTAATTTTCTTTGAACATTCTGGTGTATGGCTGCCATTAATTTGCTTTTGTATGACAGTGTTTGTTCAGTTACCCAGTTTTTGTAATTCATAGAGACCGTGGAACCTAATTTTAAGCAGGAATGTGTTTTCCTAATGGAAGTGCTTGCATTTAGAACTATTAAAATAATTACTGTTTACAAAACGGAACAAGTCACAGACAAAACATGCCCTTTTTCAGTCACCTCTGTTCTTGTTGCTGTTGCCTCCTTTAATGTTAAACGCCTGAGCAAACATGCTTATTTATTTCTTTGGGGAAATCTAATATTGGGCAGTAGCATGTGGATTGGGTCGTCCCACATCGTAAGGACAGTTTAATTTGTATTCGAGTTTCTATATCTCTCTTGGATGAAGTCTCTCTTTCTCTACCTTTTTAAAGGGACTTCTTTGGACCAGAATTTTTCTTTCTGTGTTGCTTAAATAAGCTAAATATCTTCTGGAGCGGAATCAAGGTTGGAAGAGGCAGTAATTACAGTTCACAGAGAAGGGCAGTTTCCTTCTCCGTCTTCTTTCGCTGGGCGTTTTTGCACATTATTGACATTTTGTGAGTAAGGATAATTGGATAACTTTGTAGATTTATATTTCTTCTTAGGAACAAATCAGTTTTACTTTGTAGGGACATCTCTCTGACCGTTCTAGGCTGGCAGCGAGCCCT